ATTTTGTTTTTTAAAAAGGGAAAAAAGCAACTATATCACTGGAAAACTTCAGTGGCAATCAAAAATTTTAAGTAAATACCAATTAAATAACATTCATTATGTTTCAGAACTCCAATTATATTTATATTATAAGTTATTTATAGTAGACATGTAATAAACATTTAAAAATAGTCTCATACCTCATACTTGATTAGGAAGTTATAAAGGGTCTCAATGTCTTGATAATTGCTGTTAGGGGCCAAAATCCTAAAAAAACAGAATAAAAAACAGGAAAAGAATGATTTACTAACAAAATAATACCTTGAACTTTCTCCCCAAAACACAGCTACACATTAGAGAAAACTGTTTGGCAAGTGTATTTAAAGACTGGAAATCCTTTCTGCTTTTTATCAATTTTATCAATAAAATTTAGTAAACCTTGAATTAATTCAACAGGGATCAATTTGTAAAAATATTTTGGCTTATTTAAATTGATACATCAATTCTCAAAACCAGAAATATGAAGTACTTTTACCCTCTGTACCCTTAAAGCTGCAAACAAAGCTTTACAACTTCGCACAGAAAGGTTCAATCAGTCCAAGCAGACAAATAATGAAACATTACCAAACACATAAAACAAATCCTAAAAAAGAACATAACTAAATCAGAGTAACACAGTTTAAACTATCAGCGATGAAAAATGGCAAGCAGATTATGTGAATTGATAGAAATAACAATGATTAAAAACAACAAATAGTAGAGATAGGTCTGGTAGCATGGTATATCCCTGTAATTCTAGGGCTCTAGGAAACTAAGGCATGGGGCAGGAAGATCACAAGCTCAAGCCTGGTCTTGGGCAATTTAGTGACTTAACAAGACTCTGTGTCAAAAGAAAAAATACAAAAGAGCTTAAGGTACCCTAGTTTCAATCCCCAGAACTAAGGGATGGGTGAGAGGAAGGGAGGGAGGGAGAGAGAGAAAATAGAAATAAAGAAGATATTTTTCCTTTTTATCTTTTTTGTTATATTAAACACATTTTAATCCTTCCATCATGAAGAAATATTTTTGGAAGAAAAAGAAAAACCAATTCGATCATTTGGTACAATGGTTCTAAGTACTATCCATCCCAATTTGACTGTGTTACTTTGAATATGTGATTTAAATATATGTAACTTCTTTATCCATTAAATAAGAATAACAATAGCCTTAATTCACAGGGTTAGTGTGAGAATTAAATGAGTTCTATAAGGAAAGCCTTTACAAGAGTGTAAATGTAATGTATGTAATATATTTCAAATGTAATAGTAACTACTTCAACATCATTTAAGTAGTTTTGAGATACAAACTAGGTCAGTGATTATATAAATAACAAGATGTAACACTACCTCAGTTAATTTTTTCATTCCAAGTGACTTTTCATTACAACACTGTAGGTTATGTCCTTGCCAGTGTTTAATGTTGTCAGACCTGAGAGTTAACTGATCTCAATAATTTAAATTGTATCTGTGACTATTTAGTCATCTATTATACTTTTGAAAAACTTTTATAAATATTTTTTCAGGATGAAATCAGATTCTTAAAGAGCTCTTTTCTTAGAAGGAGCATATATAAAATATCTTTAAAATATACAAATATATGAATGAGAATGTGTTTTTCTTCCAATAATCAATTTTTTTTTAATTTATTTATTTTGCATGCCGGGGATTGAACTCAGGCCCTTGTACTTGCCAGGAAAGCACTTATTCTACTGAGATATCTCCCTGGCCCCTCAATAATCAATTTTAAAATACAAATAATCTCTCCTACCCCCAAAAAAGACCAATGAAAATACACTGAAGAGGGGAAGGCCCATAAATTTTGTTTAAAAAATAAACAGTACATTATCATAATCTATAATAACCCTACTGTGCAAGAGCACACCACAGCTAATTAATTCCTAGTTACAACTGAGTGACCACTTATTAACTTCTTTCCATTCTACACCCCAGCGACTCTTGCCAGGCAGTTAACCACCACACTATTCTCAGTTTCTATGAGATCGATAACATACTTCAAAATACTGGCAGTAATTCTTAATGTTTCCATCAAAAAATACTGTTTGAGAAGACAAATACATTTAACTTGATTTAAACATTATACAGTGTATATATGTATCAAAACATCACATTGCACCCCATAAATTTGTACCATTTTAATATCTCTAGTCAGTTAAAAATTTAAAATTAAAAAGCTATCTAGGGGGCTGGTGAGATGGCTCGGTGGTCTGCAGCACCTATTTAGAACAAGCTTAGCCAAGCACAGGGACCGCGGTTCGGTCCCCCAGCACCACATGCCGGCCAGCCGCGCCCCCTGGTGGGCTGAGCTGGCCACACACACACACATAAATAAAATAAAATAAAATAAAAGACTTAAAAAAAAAAAAGCTATCTAGGGAAGTTTCAGAAAGGAAATGAGAAACGAATACTCTTTAGCTGTGTAACTCACTGAAAACATACTATAAGCAATGTCAAGTAGATTCTACTTATCCTTTACAGCTTTAGAAAATAACTAAATTGTCTCTAAGAAAATCTGATGAAACATTTTATATTAAAAGTGTTGTAAACTCCAAGCCAGTATCACAAAGTATGTATTTTACTACAGAATAAAATAACATTGCTCTGAAATACTTTGTATAAAAAAGTGGTTCTAAGTAAATTAGTCCTTTATCTGTAGCAACAAGTAACATTCAAAGAAAGAAAATAATTCATCATTCTGGTTTTCCAATTAGCAAAAATTGCAACGTTTTAACTTGTACCTTGGTTTTAGTCAACATTTTACTAAGACATAATTTCTGTACCATAAAATGCAATCATTTTAACAATTTAGTGATTTTTAATAAATCTACAGATTTCTACAATGGGCTATCACAATGCAATTTTAGAGTATTTCCTTCACCCCAAAAAAGAATCTTCTTGCCTGTTTGCAGTCATTTTCTGATCTCACCTCCAAACCCAATCCCAGGCAACAACTAATTGTCCCTACAGAACTGCCTTTCTAGGACTAGAATGATTTATTCATTTGTTAAGTTCCTTCTTTCTTACCTTCACAAAAGCATGATTGTAGCTGCAAATAATAGCATGCTATACTAAGAGTCCAGAAAGTGAAGCAAACTCTAGTAGATAATGCCTTACTCTCACAATGTATTTAATGATAAGTAAAAAGGGAAATACATTACTAAAAATGTCCAGATCATAACAAGTGATTCTCTATTCTCTCAACAAATATTTTAGAGACTGGGCGTGGTGGTGCACACCTGTAATCCCAGCATTTGGGAGGTTGTAAACAGAAGAATCACTATGAGTCCAATCTAATGGTGAGACCCTGAATATTTTGTAAACTCTTCCCTAAAATATAGGGGAAAAAATACAAACAAATATTTTAAATTATGAGCCATGCACTGTTCTAGGCCCTTGTGTACAAAAATTAAAAACAGGAAGATCCTGAGTAGAGACCACAGTATTATTCTAAAGAGAAGATGAAAGAAAATATGCTAAACAAACACAAGGAGATAATGAAGAAAAATATCTCATTCTTATCCATAGAGCAGTTTCTCATTTATTTATTTATTTGTGTGTGTGTGTGTGTGTGTGTGTGTGGCCAGCTCAGTCCACCAGGGGGCGGGCTGGCTGGCATGTGGTGCTGGGGGATTGAACCGTGGTCCCTGGGCTTTGCTAAGCTTGTTCTAAGTAGGTGCTTTAGACCACTGAGCCATCTCACCAGCCCCTGGTTTCTCATTTTTAATTGGAACTGGTAAACCAAAATACAAAACAGAAACTTTAAGTTTTAATGAGTCATGTTTCAAATATAAATACTTGATTATTTAACAAAACATAAAACTAAACTATAATACAAAAAGTTTTTATTGGTATACCACTATAATTCTTAATTATACTACTTTTTTATTTTTTTAAAAAAGGTGTTTTTTTGTTTTTTTGTGCAGAGTCTCACTACACAGCTTGGACTAGTAGTAATCCTCCTGATTTCTACCTCCCTAGTGCTGGGATTACAGGCGTGCGCTACCACGCCTGGATTCCATCTCTGGCTCAGCACACCTGGGGGCAGGGCTGGTGTGGCATGTGGTGCCAGGGATCAAACTCTGTCCCCTGCACTTACCTAAGTGCTTAGTCCGCTGAGCAATACCACCGGTTCTTATACAACATTTAAAATCAGACTAACGCTATGTATGCTGTTAATAAAAACTAAAATATACCCAAAAAACGATTTTAAAATGTCATTTTGAAACACTGGCATTCTAAGTCTAAAATGGACTACACAATTTTATTGAAATGTACTCAATTAGGGACTAAATTTAGACTTCATTATATACTGTTAACTCTAGGTTTAATAGAATAGATTTGGTCCTGGTACAAAGCTGCAAATTTTTACTTACTAGAAAAAGTTTGTTCAGAATACACAGAAAAATAAAATGGAAAAAATTATTTATGTTTTCTGAATTTGGTCTGGAATAAAACTGCAAGCTTTTACTAACTACATATGACTTGTTGAAAATATACAAAAATAAAAAATAAAAAAAGAGAAAAAAGTTTATGGACTTTTGGGTCTCAGTAATTATCCCACACAAAAATTCTTGAGAAGTCAGCCTTCTCTCAAATTTTCTCACTTTTTTTTCCCCCTCTGTGGGAAGACAAAGGACTCTTAGAATACAAGCCCTAAAGTTAGCCTTTAATGGTAACTTTCAAAATATTAAACAATTATTTCTTTCAGAGATGAAATACTTTTCAAAAAATTGCAAGTTCTATTTATGAATATATCCACACTTGTCCTTTCAAGACAAATTCATAATAAGTATATTAAATTCATACTATTTGCTCGAATGTATATTGTAGTGAAAGCTACAGAGTACTAACAGAAAATTATAAACATAGTTTCCTTTTTTTTTTTTTTTTTTAATGTATTTGGTATAGACTCTGCAGGTTCTACAGGGTCTCACTATGGAGATCAAACTCGTAGCAATCCTGTTTTCAGTCTCCCAAGTGCTGGGATTACAGGCTGCACACCACCAGGCCCAGTCTCCAAATCACCCTCTCAGGGTGCTGGGGGGGGGTGGGGTGAGGCCGGCAGGGCATACTGGGGATCGAACCTGGCTACTGCGTTCTACCTAAGCAGGCGCTTTAGTTCACTGAGCTATATGGCCTGCCCGGGTTTCCTACCTTTAAGTTGTTTACAATCTTGAAATTTCACTCTAGAATGAGTTTGGAGGAAAAGCT